GGCGACGGTGCAGGTGGCGAAGTACCCCGCCAAGTTTCCGCTGGACCTGCCTCCGCCGGTGCGGCCAGCGCCGCAGGAGGAGACCGAGTGGGAGATGGACGCGAGGGATTTCAGCATCGACGAGGCGTGCGCGGAGTGGTACGCGAAGGTGGAGCAATACCTGGGGGCCCTGCACGGCGAAGGGGTCCCGGCCAGGATTGCCCACAGCAGGGCCGACGGCCTTCAGGTGCATTGGGTCCCGTTGGAGGCGCACTGGGCTCATAGCGTGCGGCTGCGGTACAGCCAGGAGGCGCGGCGATGGCACAGCCGCGCGGGTGCCCTTCGGAGGCTTGCGGCGCTCGTCACGCAAACTCGCTCCAGCGGCAAGGGCTGGCCAGAGTTGGAGCGGCAGAAGCGGCTGACGAGGTCGTTGCAGGGCCCGGGTGAACCGTGGCTCACAGAGGGGGCCCTGGCAGGCCTGGATATGAAGAAGCTCACCGACGTGGTCTGCTTCGGGAGCGTTGGGGCCTACGGGGTGCTCCTGCGGGCGGTCCAGAAGGAGGTTGACCGCATGGACGACGAGGACCGGGAGCGGCAGGGCAAAGAGTGGAAGGCCTGGGCCCAGGCGGCCGCTGCCGAGCTAGGAGGCTCCAGGGCCTTCAAGTACATCAAGCAGCGTGACTTGGACTCCACGGTCATGCAGCAGGAAACGTGCAATGGCTCCGGGCCCGGGCAGGAGGGGGCCGCAGCTGGCAAGGTGCAGGACGAGGAGGAGGAGGGACCAGGCCTTCCGGTTGCAGGCTCGGAGGCCCTCCAAGTGCTGCTCGACGACTGGATGCCCCTTTGGTGCAAGGCCAGCCGGGACGATGAGCAGCACCCCGCCTTGTGGCCCGACGGGGACCCGCTTCCCGCGCTATCGTTAGTAGACTTGGACGCGGCGCTGGACAGGTACAAGGCGGGATGCGGACTCGGGTGGGATAGGCTCCATCCGAAGAAGCTCGCTCACCTGCCGCAGGCCTACCGCGAGCGGTTCCTGAGGATCCTGGAGGCGTGGGAGGCCCGCCCGTGCGACGCGAGGCTCTGGGAGCTGATCACGGTGTTCCTGGCCAAGGAGGACGGGGGCATGCGGCCGATCCACCTCAGCTGCCTGTGGATCCGCTTATGGTCCAGGCTGCGCCAGCCGCTCGTGAAACAGTGGGAGGACGACCTGAAGAACCCCGCCTTCTGGGGCTCGGAGGACAAGTCCTGCGACGCCGCTGGCCTCGTCTCCAACCTGCTGGCGAGCTTCGCGCGGCTCAAAAGGATGGCTGCTGGGGCAGGCGTGGTGGACCTGGCAAAGTTTTACGAGCACGTCAGCCACGCCGAGCTCGCGAAGGCGGCGGGCGAAACGGGGTTCCCCCAGAGGCTCCTCAAGCTCCTGTGCCTGAGCTACAGGTTCAGCCGCAGAGCCACCTGGGATGGAGCGATTTCGGATGGCATCCGGGCGAACGGGACCCTGACCGCGGGGTGCTCGTGCGCCACAGGAGTGGCCAAGCTGCTGCTCCACGTGCTCACGAAGCGGGTGCAGAAGTTGTGCCCGGTGGTGCGCTGCCAGAACATCGTCGACGACGTCTTCGTGCAGGCGGTGGGCGGAGGAAAGCAGGTGAAGGAGCAGCTGCCGAACGCGACGCTCGACCTCGTGCGCGGGCTGGTCGAGAAGGGCCTGCCCGTCTCCTGGAAGAAGACCAAGTACCTCGCCAACACTGCGGACGTGGCTGCTGCCATGGACGCGGCGCTGGGGGCAGAGGCGGCTGCAGCTGGGTCCCAGGGCGGCCAACGGAGCTCCGGGGCACGCAACTTGGGCTGCGACGCCACGGATGGCAGGTGGCGGAGGGTCCACGAGCAAGACGTGCGAATGCAACGAGCTGCGCGCGTTTCCCTCCGAATGCGGGCCCTCCGCAGGGCAGGAGCTCAGGCAGCAGGGCTCCAGAGGGGGAGCCCTACGGCGACTGCGCTATGGGGATCGGTGGTCACAGGCATAGCCGACGGCAAGCTGCACCAACTCAGAATCCTGGCGGCGAAGGCTGCTGGCAGGCTCCCAGCGGGGTGCAGCGTCGGCCTCAGGCTGAAAGCGCACCCACGCGCGGCCTCGCGGGACCCCTGGGTCTTGCACGCCGCCGAGCTTGCGCGCGCCTGGACCTCGACACTGGCGCGGGGGCTCGTCACGGAGGAGGTGATGAAGACGTGCTGGGAGGCCGCGAGCGGCATCCTGATGCGTGAGAGGCCCTGGAATCTGTGCCGCTGCCCAGCGGAGGCCTGCCGCCTTGGGCTGCGCAGGGCAGGGCTGGACATGCCGCGGTTCGATGCCCTCGAGATCCCAGGAGGTGAGGTCATTCGGTTGCGGGACTTCTCTCCGGGGGCTGCCAAGGAGATCGTTCGCCGACACGCGTGCCAGATGTCCGACGTGGCGGCGCTGGCCAGGCTGAGAGGGGCCGGCACGTGGGCGACCCCGCTCAATTGGGCGCCATTGGCCAAGCTCCTCGGGCCGAAGGCGGTGGACAACTCCGAGTGGACGGTCGGCCATCAGCGGGCTCTTCGGAGCTTATTCGGAGGTTCCCATTGGCCGCAGGCCCGGCTGTGCGACGAGGGTAAGACGGACAGCGACCGAAGCACTTTGTGCGGCGCGGAGCGGGGCACGCTCTGGCATCGCTGTTTCGCTTGCGACGGCCACGCGGTGCGCAGGAAGGACCGCTGCCCGCCAGAGCTGCTGGCCGCCGCGCGCGTGGTGCGCGAACGCGGAGAGGCGGCGGGTGAGCTGTTCGCCCGAGGTCTGCTGCCCTCCGCGCAGCAATGCTTCTCGAGGTCAGAGGCCCCAGAGGCCCACCACCTCGTGTGGCACGTGCGACCCGAGGGGGGGTTCTTCTCGGGTGACGTTTTCGTCGACGGCAGCGCCTTCGACGTGGAGGACGACTCCCTGAGGCGGGCAGGGTGGGCCATCGTGGCCTTCAACGACGACCGGGAGATCACGGGCGCGGCCTACGGCGTGGTGCCTTTGGCGCAGGCGCCGCTGCAGGAGGCGCGCGACGGCGAGGACTACGCGTTCAAGATGCTGTCGCAGCTCGGGCAGGGCCCTCTCAGGGCCCATTGCGACTGCAAGGGCGCGGTGAAGTGCGCCCGCGACCGGGCCTTCGCCATGCGCGAGGCCAACGTGCGGCGGCACCTCTGGTCAGCGTGGTGGGCCGAGATGGGCGACCAGGAGGTCGAGGTCGTGAAGGTCAAGGCGCACCTCGGGGTGAACGCCATGACGAGCCACCTGGAGAGCTGGCGGCGCGCTGGGAACGCCGAGGCGGACCGCCTGGCGCGCCGCGGAGCCCGGCTGTGGGGCGTCCCCGAGGAGGCGCGCCTCTTCGCCGCTGCGTGCAGGCGCCGAGCCAGGCAGCTGGCGCGATGGCTGGGGGACCTCCACGCGCACCTGCAGGGAACGGAAGTCAGAGATTCCGTGGGCCTGAGTGCAGGCGCAATGGACGACCAGGATGAGCACGATGGTGGCCAGCACGACGCCGAGGGCGGCCCAGCGACCAGCAGACGGCCCCTACAATGTCACGGAGTTGGTGCGCCCGAGGCCCTCCAGTTGCCTCCAGGCGCACCGGGCGAGCAAGCCACAGGAGCCGGTGACAACGGCCCGGAGGTGGACCACGTCCCTGCAGTGCCATGGAAGCTGAGGGGCCACAGCATTTTGGCCAGGCCTTGCGGCGACGAGGTCGCGGTGCTCTTCTGCATGCAGTGCGGTGCCAACGCGCAGGTGCAGCGGAGAGGACGGGGCAGCCTTCTGGGTCCGTGCCGCGGCCCCGAGGCCGCCGGACTCGCAGAGGCGCGTCGGCGGCTGCGAGCCGGCCTACACCCGCACCCACGGAGGCAGAGACAGCGGCTCGGGCAGCCGAGGGCTCTCACAGACGCCGAGCGGACGATCTGGCGACCAGTGCTGGCGCCCGGCGCAGGCGAGGAAGAGGAGCAGGAACTTGCAGTGAGACAAGGCTACCGGCTCAACTGGCGGCGTCTGCACATCTACGACGTCGCGCGGCTGCACGGCTTCCACAGCCCAGCGGAGGCGGTGGCTTGGGAGCGCGCAGCGGCGCAGTACAGCGACGGCCCCGAGTGCGAGGGCTGAGGCCGGCGTCCGGCGGCAGCCAGCACGCCCGAGTGAAGGTGTTGCCGCAGGAGCCCTGAGCCGTTGAGGCCGCCAGGCCTCGGCGGCTGTGCGGAGCCGCCGCGGCGGCGCAGGTGGGCTAGACTAGCCCGCCCTCTACCCAACCCAACCCAACCCAACCTCCTCCTCCTCCTTCTCCTCCTCCTCCTCCTCCTCCTCGCCGTTCACCTCCACCTCCTCCTCCTCCTGCTCCTCCTCCTCCTCGTTTTCCTCCTCCTTCTCGTTCTCCTCCTACTCCCCGTCCTCCTCCTCCTCCTCCTTCTTAACCTCCTCCTCCTTCTTCTTTCGCCTCCTCTCCTCCTCCTACTCCGCAATCCTCCTCCTCCCCCTCCTCCTCCTCCTCCTCCCTCCACCTCCTCCTCCTCCTCCTCCTCCTCCTCCCCCTCCTCCTCCTCCTCCTCCACCTCCTGCTCCTCCTCCTCCTCCTCAGTCCTCCTCCTTCTCGCCTTCTCCTCCTCCCTCCTGCTTCCCCTCCTCCGTCCTCCGCCTCCATCCTCCGCCTCCTCCTCCTCGTACTCCGCCTCCTCCTCCTCCTCCTCTTCCTCCTGCCCCTCCTCCTCCTCCTACGTCCTCCTCCGCTCCCTCCTTCCTCCTCTTCTCCAACCTCCTCCTCTTCCTCACCTCCTCCTGCATCCTTCCTCCTCCTCCTCCCTCCTCCATCTCCATCCTTCTCCTCCTCCTCCCTCCTCCTCCTCCTCCTCCACCGCCTCCTCCCCCTCCATCTTCTCTTCCCCTTTCCCCTCCTCCTCCCCTCCTCATCCCTCCTCCTCCTCTACCCTCCTCGCACCTCCTCCTCCTCCCCTCCTCCTCACTCCTCCTCGTTCCTCTCTCCTTCTGGCCTCCTTCTCCTCCTACTGCTCCGCCTCCTCCTCCTCGTCCTCCCCTCCTCCTCATCCTCCTGCTTCTCCTTCCCTCGTCCTCAGCCTCCTCGCCTCCTCCTCCGACTTCGTAACCCCGCCTCCTCCTCCTCCTCCCGCCTCTTCTTCCTCCAGCTCCTCCTTCCTCGTCCACCTCCCCCATCACCTTCCTTCTCCTCACTCCTCCTCCCCAACACTCCCACCACGCCCTCCTCCTCTTCGCCTCCTCCTCCTCGTCCTCCTTCTCCTCCTCCTCCTCCTCGTCCTCCTTCTCCTCCTCCTCCTCCTCCTCCTCCTCCTCGTCCTCCTCCTCCCCTCCTCTAGGCTCTAGGCTGCTAATCGACACCCGATCTAGGCGATTGTTCGTCTTGCCGCGAGGCTCTTCTTCTCGAGGTGGCCTCCGAGCACCGTCCTTTTTTTCGCCAGCAAGGCACGGGCTGCTCGCCGCTCCTTTCGCTTCGCCTTCAGGACCTGCGCTGCCCCGCCTCTCGAGCCCGATGCTAGTCTTTTGTCTTTTGGTCTCAGCCCGAAGTTGCTGTCGTTTGGATCCGAACTTCAGTTTGAGCTCCGCAGTGTCGCTCGTCCGCCAGAGGTATTTAATCGGCAGCCCGTGGCGCCTCGAGACGAGTGCTAGTGTTTAGACCCGCGCCTGCGCCAGCGGGGCAGGGATCGCTTTCAGGTATGGCCTCCGCAGCATGCTTCAAGGGAGGAAAAAACACCCGGATCCGATAATCGGCGTTTACTAAACGGCCCTGGGCGTTTAGTAAATAGCCTTGCCCTGTTCAATTCCTTCCTTGGGGGCGCTTGCGAAACGGCTTCACTTGTCTGGGTGGTTGTTATGGGGGGTGGATTTTCTGCCCGCCCCAGTGAGCAGTCAAGGATCGCGAAGCCGGGACCAGCAGGGGCCTGGTTACAGACTTCCCCTGGTGGATGTGAGCGGAAGGTCACCTCACTCTCGCGCCGTCTCGCTCCCCCTTCTTCTCTTCTTCTCGTTCCGCTCCTCGAGGTCAACTCATCAGCCTGGAACATATCCCGTTCCCTATGATTTGCATCGCCTCATCTCGATGCCACTCTTAAGATTCCTAAGCTTGTCATTGCCCTGCAGCCTGTCGGTGTCAGGGATAGGGTCAAGTTCGAGGCTGCTTATCAACATCCGATCTACGCGATTGCTCGTCGTGCCGCGAGGCTCTTCTTCTCGAGGTGGCCTCCGAGCACCGCCCCTCCTCCTCCTCCTCCTCCTCCTCCTCCTCCTCCTCCTCCACCCCCTCCTCCTCCTCCTCCTCCCCCCCGTCCTCCTCCTCCTCCTCCTGCTCCTGCTCCTCCTCCTCCTCCTCCTCCTCCTCCTCCTCCCCTCCTCTAGGCTGCTTATCAACACCCGATCTAGGCGATTGCTCGTCGTGCCGCGAGGCTCCTCTTCTCGAGGTGGCCTCCGAGCACCGCCCCTTTTTTTTCGCCAGCAAGGCACGGGCTGCTCGCCGCTCCTTTCGCTTCGCCTTCAGGACCTGCGCTGCCCCGCCTCTCGAGCTCGATGCTCGTTTTTTGTAATTATCCCGGCGAAGGTCCCAACCATATGCAGTTGTGGGTACTCCAGATCTCGTAATAAAAGGGAGGGGGTCTGGACCCTCCAAGACAAGCCATTTCAGACCCCCCCCCGTGGGAGAACCCTCCGAAACATCGTCCCCAGACCCCCCCAGGCCCTCCAAGATGGCCTGGAAGAGACCCCCCCCGAAATGAGACCCCCCTCCCTTTATTACGAAATCTGGAGTACCGTAATTGTGAATATCTGCTTCGGTGAAGCTCCCTATGGGGCCACGAAGCCTGCACTGGGGGGGGCGGGGAAACGCGAAATTAGTGGGTGTGTGCCGAATTGGGGTATTTCTGGACCCACGAGGACGGTCCACTGAGGCTTCGGTGGAGCTCCCTAAGGGCCACGAACGCCTACAGAGTGATTGAAAGTGCCAAATTGGTACTCGTGGCGCAATGCGACGGTCCCACTGGGGGCTTCCGGTGGCAGCCCCCCTTAATGGGGCCCACGAAGCGCTGCACACGCGTGTGAAAATGCCAAATCACATTTCCCAGACGCATGCGGACGGTTGGCACTGGGCCTTGGGTGGGAGCCCTTGATGAGGGGCCACAAACTGCCCTGTTGTGAACGTGCCAAATGGGCTTTCCGGGACGCATCGCGGACGGGGGCACAGGGGCCTTCGGTGGAGCTCCCTATGTGGCCACGAAGCGCTGTACTGGGTGGGTGAAACGCAGGGAGGAGGGGGAGGAGGGCCACGAAACGCTGTACTGGGTGTGCGGGACGCATGCGGACGGTAGCGCTGGGACCTGCGGGGGGCTCCCTATGGGGCCACGAAACGCTGTACTGGGTGTGCGGGACGCATGCGGACGGTAGCACTGGGACCTTCGGTGGGGCTTCCTATGGGGCCACGAAGCGTTGCACTGGGTGGATGAAACGCAGGGAGGAGGGGGAGGAGTGCCACGAAACGCTGTACTGGGTGTGCGGAACGCATGCGGACGGTAGCGCTGGGACCTTCGGTGGGGCTCCCTATGGGGCCACGAAACACTGTACTGGGTGTGCGGGACGCATGCGGACGGTAGCGCTGGGACCTTCGGTGGGGCTCCCTATGGGACCACGAAGCGTTGTACTGGGTGTGCAGGACGCATGCGGACGGTAGCACTGGTACTTTCGGTGCGGCTCCCCATGGGGCCACGAAGCGCTGTACAGGGTGGGTGAAACGCAGGGAGCAGGGGGAAGAGGGCCACGAAACGCTGCACTGGGTGTGCGGGACGCATGCGGACGGTAGCGCTGGGACCTTCGGTGGAGCCCCCTATGGGGCCACGAAGCGCTATACTAAAGCGCTGTACTGTGTGTGCGGGACGCATGCGGACGGTAGCACTGGGACCTTCGGTGGGAGCTTCCTATGGGGCCACGAAACGTTGCACTGGGTGGGTGAAACGCAGGGAGGGGGGGGGAGGAGTGCCACGAAACGCTGTACTGGGTGTGCGGGACGCATGCGGACGGTAGCGCTGGGACCTTCGGTGGGGCTCGCTATGGGGCCACGAAGCGCTGTACTGTGTGTGCGGGACGGATGCGGACGGTAGGGAGGAGAGGGAAGAGGAGGAAGATGAGGAGAACGCGGGGACCGTCTCTTCAAAACGAGGACCCAACACCACAGGATGGTTGGGGAAAAAACAGCTTGAGACATCGCCCTATCCTTATGTTTAGCATCACCCTGCCCTGGTGGTGATCTTAGGGATTCCCTCAGTTTCTGAGGGCCCATCTCTGAGATTGTCATCGCCTTGGGCTTGCCGATCTTAGGAACAGGGGTCAGTTCGAGGCTGGTTATTTTGGTCTCAGTCCGAAGTTGCTGTCATTTGGATCCGATCTTCAGTATTAGCTCTGCAGCGTCGCTCGTCCGCTAGAGTTTTTTTCCGAACCATCCTGTGTTGTTGGGTCGTCGTTCTGAACAGACAGCGCCCCGTGCCCCTCACTCACTCCACCTCTCCCTTCTCCCTCCTCCCATCCCTACCTCTGCCCTTCGCATGTCAACCGTTCTGGTACACCCCATCACACGTTTCGTGGCCCCACCGGGAATTCAACCGAAGGTCCAATTGGCACCGTTCGCATGCGTCCCCGCCACCGATTTCGGCACACCGCTCACACGTGTCGTGGCCCTAGACGGAACTTCACTGAGGGTCTTGGTGGCGCCGTTCGCATGCGTCACCGCCACCCATTTCGGCACATCCCTCGCACGTTTCGTGGCCTCGCATGCGTCCCCGCAGCCCATTTTGGCACACCACTCTCGCTTCGTGGCCCCATACGGAACTCCACCGAAGGTCCCTGTGGCGCCGTTCGCATGCGTCCCTGCCATCCATGTTGGCACACACCTCACACGTTTCGTGGCCCACTGTGGAGCTCCACCGAAGGTCCCAGTGGCACCGTTCGCACGCGTCCCCGCCACCCACGTCGGCACACTCCTCACACGTTTCGTGGCCCTACAGGGAGCTACACCGAAGGTCCCAGTGGCACCGTTCGCATGCGTCCCCGCCACCCATTCCGGACTCCTCATACTTTTCGTGGCCCCGTAGGGGGGCCCTAGCGAAAGTCCCAGTTGCACCATGTGCATGCGTTCCCATCCACCCATTCCGTCACGCCTCTCACATGCTTCGTGGCCCCTTTAGTGAGCTACACCGAAGGTCCTGGTGGCACCGTTCGCATGCGTCCCCGTCACCCATGTCGGCACACCCTTCACACGTGTCGTGGCCCCATGGGGAGCTCCACTGGAGGTCCCAGTGGCACCGTTCGCATGCGTCCCCGCCACACATGTCGGTACACCCCGCGCACGTTTCGTGGTCCACAGGGATCTCCACCGAAGGTCCCAGTAGCACCGTTCGCACGCGCCCCCACCACCCATGTCAGGACCCCCCTTGCATGTTTCGTGGCCCCCTAGTGAGCCTCACACAAGGCCCCAGTGGCGTCTCTCGCATGCACCCCCCGCCCCCATTACGGCACACCGTCGCGGGAGCTCTACCGAAGGTCCAGTGGCGCCGTTTCGCACGGTTCGTCGCTCCACAGGATCCCCACCGACAAAGATATAAACCGCGAGCTCACAATTGCATATGGTTGGGTCCGTCGGCAGTATTGTTTAGCGGTGGCACATGGCGCCTCGAGACCAGTGTTCGTTTTTGTACCCGCATCAGCGCCAGCGCGGCAAGGTCAGTTCTTAGGTGTGGCATCCGCAGAGTCGCATGCCACGGGCATTCATATGCGCGGTCTTGGCGCTGGGGGGGAGAAGGCGAACCCGCGTGAGGAAGTCTGCGCTTGCTCGGCTCGCCGTGCAGGCCGACCAGCCTTCTCAGAGTGAGCAACGCAACGGATCCGTACATAATGGAGGATGACGATTAATAAATGACCGGGGGTCGTGTTCACGCGGCGGCGCCCAGGATGACGATTAGAAAAAACCGGCCGCGGGCTGGAAAACTATTTCTTTAAATCGTTCTCCTCCAGTCAGAAACTTGTGCAGAAATAGCAGTTTTTTTTTTTTTTTCGTTCGCTCCCGTTTTTTATTAACCGTCATCCCGCATTACCCGTGGGTCCACGACTCGTCGAGAACGGACGCTGTTGAGAGGGGAGGCGGCCGCAGAGGAGGAGAGGGACGGAGAGCCCCGCGCGCCCGCGGGCGAAGAGCAGCCCACGTACGGGCAGCCATGGCCCGATGTCATGGGCCATGCCGCGGGCGCCAGTGGTCGGATGCCATGGGCCGCCCCTGGGCCATGCCGTGGGCGCCATGGTCCGATTGTCATGGGCCATGCCGTGGGCGCCAGTGGTCCGATGTCATGGGCCGCCCCTGGGCCATACCGTGGGAGCCAGGCGTCAGATGCCATGGGCCACGCCTCCCTCCTGGCTGCAGAGCGCCCCACCGTCCTCGTCGCTGCCAGGCCGCCCGTGGCAAGGAGCCGCGGCGGGGCAGCACTCCAGAGACGGGCGTCGCTCACCCTTTGGGCTCTTGAGGTCCTCAGCACGCCGCCTCGCCGCATGTGCATGGAGCGCGCTTCTTTCTTGCTTGGGGCATACTGGGCATTGTAGCCCCTGGCCCGCCCCCCTATGACGTAACGCCCCTCCCCCCCAGTGCGCTCCGGTCACTGCCGCCGCGCGCACGGCGGGGGGGAGGCTTTACATTTTCCCCCCCCCTGCTGGCCCCTCCCCCCCTCCCTCATATAATGCCCAGTGTCGCCGAAACTGAAGAAACGCGCTCATGGCAGCTTTCTGAGCCACGCCCGATCCAAGCAGCGCTGCGTCTGCCACGATCAGATTTTTGACGGCAGCACGGCGCTCCCCGCGCGCAGCGTGGCATCTCACCAACACCACGTCAGGGTTTTCAGTCCTTTCTGTCACTACAGACCTAAGGACAAACAGAGATCCCTGATTCCTTCGTCCCTCGCTGCCAGCAGGGTTCGACAGTCCTTGGCAGACTGAATGCAGAGGTTAGTGCTGAACTGCCCTCGTAAGGGCTAGGTGCGACTCTCTTTGTGGGTCTACCAGCGCTCAATCTCCCGCTACTTCATCTAGCTTCTTCTGGCCACTCTTCTGTTCTCGGCTGGGCCCGCTCCCGGTCAGCTTTTCCGCCGTCGCCCTCCGCCGAGGGCGCGATCCTCTGGTGCCGCTAGCGATGTGGGCCCACAGTGGAAAGGAGAGGCTGGTGAAAGGGTCAGGGTGAATGAGTTTCACCATGGGCCGAGTTCCCGCCACCACTATTACAGGCAGGAGAGGGGGAGGAGGAGGAGGAGGAGGAGGAGTAGGAGGAGGAGCAGGAGCAGGAGGAGGAGGAGGAGGAGGAGGAGGGGGAGGAGGAGGAAGGACAGAGGAGGAGATGAGGAGATGAGAGGGAATTAAAGAGTCATAAAGGGAGGAGGAGGACCTCCCCATCCTCCAGTCCCCCCCGTCCTGCCTGTGGCAGTGGTGGTGGAACATCGGCCCATCACTTCAGCCTTGGACTTTTGGCCTCCGGAGGGCGCTCTCGGCCAGACCGCCGCCTCCCAGGGCGGACCTCTCCCCGAGCTCCGCTCTCTCGCAGCCTGCTGGTGAGCGTCACCTGCGAGTGCAGTCAACCCGCATACGTAGTTTGGAGGGGCAAACTTCCCAAGGGCACTCTGGATCGCTCAATCATCGCCCCTCCCCCTTGGAGTGCCCAGGGGGGTTGGCCGCGGCGCGTCCGTGGGGGTGCCGAGGGGGTCCAGGGTACTTTCCCTTCCCCGCTGGGGCGCGGGGGTGGTGCCGGGGGGGTTGGCCGCGCCGCGTTTTCACGTTTGTCACCCCCGCGTTGATGAATAAGAAATTCGTAGTGCGCTTGCATCCTTGCCCCTTCGGCCCATGCTGAGCGACTTTCTCTGGCCAGCCTCACTCGAAAAACGTTAGCAGGGGCCACCAAGGACCCTGCATCCTTACTGCGCATCCTTCTGACGCCTCCAAGAAGCCCCCGCAGGCTCCCGGACCATGCAAGATCCCTTCCAGAAGGCCCTGGAGGCATACCGGCCTGGCCAAGACCTCCTCCCTCCTTCTCTTCCTCCTCCTCTTCCGCCAGCGGGAGGCCGGCGGAGTCGGGAAAGAGAAACGATACACTACAGTCAGGAGGGAAAAGAACACACAGACACAATTAATCGTCGATCCCCAGGAAGATATGGGAAAATATGGGCAGTGGGGGGGAAGACGAAAACCCAGAAAATATGGGAAAATATGGGGAATCTGTTTATTTGTGTGTATTCATTTGTGTGTCTTTGGGCCCCTTCATACAAGATGGTTGTACCATATGATCTCGTCGGGCGCACGCCTCCCAGGAGGACACACAGTACTAGTATGTCTTGGTGCGTGCCAAGAGCAATGTGTAGCCAAGAGGTGGCAGCCCTTTTGGGACTCGGGACATCCGGAGCAGGCCACGTGTGCCGAGCTCGTGGGGCCACCCGGGAAGAGGCAGGTTTCAGCAGCCACGCCTGGTCATGTGGTCGTGGGGCTGACGTTTTGTATGTACGGTTGCGCCTTATCTTGGGAGCCCCCAGTGACGCTGCGAGAAAAACCTGTGGACAGAATGTGGATTGGGAAGGGGGGGAGGAGGAGCAGCAGGAGAGGAAGGAAGGGGACGACAACGACGAATAGGAGGAAGATGATGATGATATTGCTGCTGCTGGTGATGATGATGGGGAGGAGGAGCAGTCGGAGAAGGGTGATATGGGGATGAGCAGGAGGAGTACAATGATGACGATTATGATGATGCTGATGATGATGCTGCTGATGATGATGATGATGCTGATGCTGCTGATGATGATGATGATGATGCTGCTGCTGATGATGATGATGATGATGATGATGATGATGATGATGCTGATGCTGATGCTGATGCTGATGATGATGATGATGATGATGATGATGATGATGATGATGATGATGATGATGATGATGATGATGCTGATGATGATGAGGATGAAGATGATGGTCATAATATCAGCCCCGCGACTCATGCACACACTTCGTGGTCTTCGAGGTCCCAGAACTCCATTCCCGGGCCACATTCTGAATGCCCGGAGCCAACTGTAGGCCACTTCGTGGTCTTCGAGTTCCCCCCCCCCCCCAGAACTCCCATTCCCTGCCCCATATCAAAATGACCTGGAAGGCAAAGTAAGGCCACTTCGTGCTCTTCGATTTCCCAGAACTCCATTCCCGGCCACATTTTGGATGCCCGGAGCCAACTGTAGGCCACTTCGTGCTCTTCAAGTTCCCAGAACTCCATTCCTGGGCATGATTTTGAATGCCCGGAGCCAACTGTAGGCCACTTCGTGTTCTTCGAATTCCCAGAACTCCATTCCCGGGCCACATTTTGAATGCTGAGGCAGGCTGATGCTGAGGCTGAGGCAGGCTGAGGATGAGGCAGGCTGAGGCTGAGGCCGAAGCGAGGCCATACTCAGTTGGCGCTGGTAAGCTGAGTCTGAGCTGAGGCAGGCTGATGCTGAGGGCTTGAGGCAGGCTGATGCTGTAGGCAGGCGAGGGCTGAGGCTTGAGGCTGATGCAGCCCCCGCAGGCCCCCTGAGCTGAGGTCGGCTAATTAGGCCGAACTGAATCCAGACAGAGTCAGTATGCTGAAGCAGGCAGCTGAGGCAGAGGCTGAGGCTGAGGCTGAAGCAGGCTGAGGCTGAGGCAGAGGCAGGCTGAGGTTGAGGCTGAGGCAGGCTGATGCTGAGGCAGGCTGATGCTGAGGCAGGCTGAGGCTGAGCTGAGGCTGATGCAGGCTGAGGCTGAGGCAGGCTGAGGCGGAGGCCGAGGCTGAAGGCAGACTGAGGCTGAGGCTGAAGCAGGCTGAGGCTGAGGCTGAGGCAGGCTGAGGCTGAGGCTGAGGCAGGCTGATGCTGAGGCAGGCTGAGGCTGAGGCTGAGGCTGATGCAAGCTGAGGCTGAGGCAGGCTGAGGCTGAGGCCGAGGCTGAAGGCAGACTGAGGCTGAGGCTGAAGCAGGCTGAGGCTGAGGCTAAGGCAGGCTGAGGCTGAGGCTGAGGCAGGCTGATGCTGAGGCAGGCTGAGGCTGAGGCTGAGGCTGATGCAGGCTGAGGCTGAGGCAGGCTGAGGCCGAGGCCGACGGCAGACTGAGGCTGAGGCTGAAGCAGGCTGAGGCTGAGGCAGAAGCAGGCTGAGGCTGAGGCTGAGGCAGGCTGATGCTGAGGCAGGCTGAGGCTGAGGCTGAGGCTGATGCAGGCTGAGGCTGAGGCGGAGGTTATGCAGCTGAGGCTTGCGGCCAGCACAGGCTGGGCTAGAGGCCTGAAGGCAACTAGGCTGAGGGGCTGAAGCAGGGGCTGAGGCTGAGGCTGAGGCAGCTGGCTGAGGCTGAGGCTATGCTGAGCTGAGTGCAGCTGAAGGCTGAGGCTGAGCTGAGGCAGGCACAGCTGCGGCAGGCAGATGCTGAGGCGAGCAGCAGCCAGACTGAGGCTGAGGCTGAAGCAGGCTGAGGCTGAGGCTGAGGCAGGCTGAGGCTGAGGCTGAGGCAGGCTGATGCTGAGCAGGCTGAGGCTGAGGCTGAGGCTGATGCAGGGTGAGGCTGAGGCAGGCTGAGGCTGAGGCCGAGGCTGAAGGCAGACTGATGCTGAGGCTGAAGCAGGCTGAGGCTGAGGCTGAGGCAGGCTGAGGCTGAGGCTGAGGCAGGCTGATGCTTAGGCAGGCTGAGGCTGAGGCTGAGGCTGATGCAGGCTGAGGCTGAGGCAGGCTGAGGCTGAGGCCGAGGCTGACGGCAGACTGCGGCTGAGGCTGAAGCAGGCTGAGGCTGAGGCTGAGGCAGGCTGAGGCTGAGGCAGGCTGAGGCTGAGGCTGAGGCAGGCTGAGGCTGAGGCTGTGACTGCGACTGCCGTTGCCGCTGCGACTGTCATCGCGAATGCGACTACGACTGCGAGAACAGCAGAATTCTACAACTGGATTTTCATCTGAATCTTAAGGTGAATCTTGCCATATGCTCCTTACACATCGCTGTCAGTTTGCTTTGCCGGGATAAATACAGGTTTCCGCGTCCTGGCCTCGGAGGCCGCCGCCTCCGACCCCCCTGGGGGCCAAGGAGGGCCTCCAGAGGCTCCCAAGACCGCCCAAGCGGGCCCCGAGTCGCCGAAAGACCGCTCCGGGACGCCCAAGATAGGCCCAAGACGACTCCCCCCAAGGCACTCCACGACGCTTCAAGACGCCTCTCCAGAGCGCTTCAAGAGGCCGAAATCGTCAATTTAATGAATGTTTTCGAACGATTTTGGCCTTCCAGCCTTTTCGGCTGTCCGACGTTAAGAATGCTCAAAGGCCCCCAAGATCGCTCCAAGAACGGCCCAAGAGAGAGCCCCAAGGAACGGCCCCAGGGTCGCCCAAGACAGCCCAACAGAGCCCCAAGACGGCCCCAAGAAGCGCCCAAGAGGGGGACCAAAATTCGACCCTCCCGCTTGAAGAGTACCCCAGGAGGCCCCAAGGAGCCCCCAAGAGGCCCCAGGAGGCCCCCAAGAGGCACCCAGGAGGCCCAAACGAGGCCTAAAGAGGCCACTAAACAGCCCCGAGGAGGCCCCACAACGGTCCCAAAACGGCTACCGAGAAGCTGCGAAACTGCCTTCACGACGTCCCCGACAGGCCAACCACGAGATCCAAAGCAACACCCATGAGGCCTCTGACCCACCACCCAGGGCACGGTGGCGGCAGCAGTGACAGCACTTGTGCACAGCATGTTCCGGCGGGAGCCTTCCGGAACACGCTGCAGGAGGAGGAGGAAGATCAGGAGGAGAGAGCTGGAGTGGGAGGAGGAGGAGGGGGACGAGGAGGAGGAAGAGGCCTCCCAGACAGCTCCAAGATAGCCGAAGAGGCTTCCAAGAGGGCCCTGGGCGGCCCAGGAGGGCCCCAAGGCGGTGCCTGAGGCGCCCAAGACGGCCCGAGAGGGCCCCAAGACGGCCCCAAGAGGCCCAAGAAGGGAAACACGAACCGAGAATCCGAGCTTTCTACCCCGAGAGGGTCTCGGGAAGTCCCAGGATGCCCCCAATCGGATTCAAGAGGCCCCCAAGAAGCTCCCAAGAGGGCCGACGAGGTTCCAAGAGATCTCCCAAGGTGGCCCCAAGAGGCACAACACATTGTTTTACGATTGGGCTTAGACGTTTTTTTTTTCTGCCTTCTGGCATCCCGATGCTCCAAGACGGCCCCAAAGGCTTCCAATACCGCTCCCATGTAGAGGAAGAGGCCTCCAAGAGGGCCCCAAGACGGCCCGCGAGGGCCTCAAGACGGTGCTTGAGCCGCCCAAGACGGCCCGAGAGGGCCCCAAGAGCCCCATGAGAGGCCCAAGAAGGGGAACGCGACCCAACAGCAGAGCGGTCCCCCCACAAGGCCCACAGGAGGCAGCAAGAGGCCCCCAAGTGGTCCGACGAGGACCCCAAAAGCTCCCCGAGGGCCCAAAAGGCCCCTGGGAGACGTCCAAGAGGCTTTCAAATAGCCCAAGAGTACCCTCGATGCGTCAAAACTGCTTCCAGGAGGTCCCTGGGAGGCTTCCGGATTGCCTCAATCTGGCCGCAGGTGGCCTCAAGTCGGGCCTCCACGCAGCCAAGACGGCCAATGACGGCTTCAGATTGCAGAACCGATGCCCCCAAGGGACCCTCAGACGCC